TTTACAACGAATGTGCGCGGCGCTAAATCGAGAGCCACATTCTGAAGACCACCCACCCTCAATCCCTGAAACTGTTGCCAAATGTTGAACTTCAGGGTCATACATGGTGAGGGCCTCCAGGGGCGACAGGGAGGAGCTATCCATCAGGAGAAGGAATGGAGGAGGGGGGGGGAGGGGGAGGGGAAGGAGGAGGAGGAGGGAAAAGAGGAGGGAAAAGAGGAGGAGGAGCAGGAGGAGGAGGAGGAGGGGGAGGAGGAGACGGAGGAAGCTGGGCCGCTGCTCCTGACGCCCCCCCCAGGGCCTTCCGGACCCTCTTCACCAGGGACATGGACACGGCGCCCGTGCGGAGCTGCGAGCGCGACTGGCGAGGGAGCGAGGCGCCCGGGAGCGCGGCGCGGCGCGGCGCCGCCTCCTCCCCCCCGCGCGAGGAACCTCCCGTCGTGGGGAGCTTTCACGACTGCGGCCGTGCCCCTCGCCCGTCGCCCGAGGCATCCTCGGCCTCCTCCCCCATCCTCCTCCTCCTCCTCCTCCTCCAACTCCTCCTCCTCCTCCTCCTCCTCCTCCTCCTCATCCTCCTCCCCTCGTCCTCCTCCTCCTCCACTCCTCCTCCCCTCCCATCCTCCTCCTCCTCCTCCTCCTCCTCCTCCTCCTCCTCCTCCTCCTCCTCCTCCCCCCCTCCGCCAGGACCGTGCGGCCACCCTCGAGTCACCACTGACCTCACGTTCCGGGGGCCCACGAACCTGCTGCTCCGTGAGAAGGGGTCGAGAGGCCTGGGGAAAAGCGGTAACATCGAAAATATGCGCGCGTGCTTCGTCAAGGGGCTGGACGACTTCTGCCGTCCCTCGACTCGCGCTGGAGCGGCCACGATTTGCTCCACACTTCCCTGGAGGCCGTTGGATTTCCCTGGATGTACCTGGGTGCACCTCGATGCACCTGCATTTACCATGACTCACCCGGCTTGATCCCCACGAGTCGACTGGCGACGAGTCGTCAGGCCATTGGGGATCCAGGGCGGCCACACGGCGCAGAGAGGGGGAGGGGGGCAGAGAGCTGCTGAGATAGGAGGGGAGCCCGAGATCCTGGCGTCGCACGCTCGCTTCCCGCCCCGGCGTTCCCGCCCGGGGTTCAGGCTCCTGGGCCGGAACGGATCGATCTGCCTCGGAACATGCAGCGGAAGGCTGGGTGCCAGGGCTCCCCTCGTGGCGGCTCGCGACGGTGCGCTGCCGTCCAGGCGTCGGACCTCGGAGGCGCAAAGGAAGGGGCGGGAGTGGGGAGAGAGCTGGGCGAGAGGGGGCAGGGGCAGGAGGCAGGAGGCAGGAGAGGGGGAGGGGGGCGGCGTTCGGCTCAGGGCTCCGAGCTCGGCGTGCCGCGTGGGCTGCTTCGGGCCAGCGATCCAGGAGGCCAGGCGTCGCAGGCTCGAGCGGGGTGACACAGCGAGCCACGCGCTGATCAGAACAGCCCTGGTCGTGATCGTGCCAGTGCTCCTCTTGGTCAGCTCCTCTTTCAGAGGGGAGGGGGGCGTTGAGGGCAGGACGGAGGATGGGGAGGGGCAAGAAGAGAGGGGGGGGGCAGGGGGAAGGCCGGCGGGGAAGGAGGCGCGGCGGGGGGGCACGAGAGGAGTGGGCACCGGGAGGGGAGGGGGCGGCCGCTGGGGGCAGGACCTTCCCTGCTCCTGCTCCTGCTCCTGCTCCTGCTCCTGCTCCTGCTTCTGCTCCTGTTCCTGCTCCTGCTCCTCCTCCTCCTCCTCCTCCTCCTCCTCCTCCTCCTCCTCCTCCTCCCTCCGCCTCCTCCTCCTCCTCTCCTCCTCCTCCTCCTCCTCCTCCTCATCCTCCTCCTCCTCCTCCTCCTCACCCTTCCCCCCATCCCCTTCCGCCCCTCGCAGCCCTCCACTTCGCGGCTGCGCGCCTCCTCCTCCATGTAATGTACCCCACCCCTCACCCCCCACCCCGTACCTCCAGCGCAGAGAGCCTCCCTCTGGGCGGTCTCGCCAACCCCCAGTTGTATCGTGGCAGCTTCCCGCTGATCATTTACGTCCGCCGACCCTGTCGGCGTCTGCGAGAGGCCGTTTCGTTTGACTTGTCGTCGCTGTCGTCGTCGCCGTCGCCGTCGTCGCCGTCGCCGTCGCCGCTCCCCCCTTTTCCCTAGGCCATCCGAAATTGAGTCGAAGGGACACCCAGTCCATTTGATCCCTTCCCCGCCGGGAGGTCCGGGGGGCGTGGAACTGCAGGCTCGGCAGAGCCGAAATTCCCGACATGTTCGTTGCTTATGTCCGTATTATGCGGTGCGCGAGGTATAGCATAGCACGGCAAATGTTGCAGCATGCAGTGGGTCGCCGATGACATTATTCTTGCACAGAACACCGCATCGATAGCAGATGGGTCAACACGCCCAAAGTAGCACAGCACGGCATAGACCATGTGCGTTCTTGTGGGGCGGAGCTTGCCCCATACAGTAGAGCCCTGAGAGCAGCATTCTGAACGGAGAGACTCTGCTGACCCTGTCGGCGTGTGTGAGGGGCTTGTCTGTCCGAGTCGTCGTCTCCGTCAGTCGTCGTCTCCGTCGTTCCCTTTCCCTGCACCCTCCTCCTTGAGCATGTCAGCGAACGAAAAATCTAGCAATATCGTAATCGAGTCGAAGGGAAGACCCTTCCCTTTGATCCCTCCCCCGTGGGGGGGGGGTCCAGGGGGGGGGGGCGTCAGATACGCATCCCCCCTGGGGTCCTAAGCCTTCAAAAAGAGCAAGACATGCCAAGAGTGCCCCGAGAGGTCATCGAGACGGTCCAAAGGGGCCCCCCAATCGCCAAACGATCGGTCCAAAACGCTTCCACGCCCTCCAGACTGCCAAGGAGGCCTCCAAGACGCCCCAAGAGGCCTCCAAGAGCACTCCCGAGAGGGCACCAGGAGGCAAAATTTACAGAGTCGCCATAAGTTTTGGAAAGATTTGGACGTTCTCGCCTTTTCCGCTTCCCACCGCAAGAGGCCCCCAAGATCCCGCAAGACGGCCCAGGAGGCCTCCAAGAGGGCTCCAAAACAGCCCAAGAGGACTCCAAGACAGCCCAAACTGCATCCAGGACTGCCCAAGAGACCCGCAAGACGGCTCCAAGAGCGTGCCCAGACGGGGGACCCGAACGGATACTTCGAGCCCACGGCCCCGAGAGGCTCCCAGCAGGCCCCAAGAGGTTCCCAAGAGGCCCCAAGAGGCCCACACACAGGAAGCCCGAAGAGGCCCCCAAGAGGCTCCCAAGTGGCCCCCAAGAGGCTCCCAAGAGGGCCCCAAATTCCTCCCCAGATGCCCCCGAGAGCCTTCCGAAGAGAACAACCCAGGAAGCATCCATGAGGACTCTGGCCCACGTCAGCATCGTCATCGTCGCCGCCGCCGCCACCGTCGTCGTCGTCGTCACCCTGCAGGGTCGGCGGCACCGGCCGTGAGGCCTTCGCAATGAATCGCACCCCAATTTGGCGTGTCGCGGAATGCCCCCTCTGGCGTGTCACGGTTTCCGCTGGGTGCTGGCCGTCGCCGTCGTGCGACCGCTTATAGGTTGCTGACAGCGCTTGCTTACAAGCGCGGGGATGCGTAGCAGTGCCACCTCCGCGCAAGGAAGACCAGAGGTGCGTAGCAATGCCACCTCTGGTCAGAGCTCCACCTGGGGTGTGTAAGAATGCCACCTCCAGCAGCAGGACAGTTAATGTCGGAAACTTGTTGGCCCAAGTTTAAAACATGGTTGCCAAACCAGTGGAGAAACAAAAATACTCCAAAGAATACCCGCAAACCCTCCACTCAGCAGTCCAGGCTGTGTAAACGCTTAGTGATAGCAGTGGATACCTTGGTGTGTCGAGCGCTCCGGGCCCGAACCATACACTACGAGAGTTTGGGCCAGCCACTCCCACTGAGAGAAGAAGAAGTCATCCGACTATTTACTGATATCGCCGAGGGCACGTGGACCCCAGGGAAACCCAAGCACACCGAGCAGAGCCAGAAACAATGGATCCCATCGGTGACTCGTTTACGAAACCAGTCGATAGCAGAGCGCTGCGAAGCAGGGGGTGCACTCTGGATGGGGCAATCATCGCCCCCCCCTTGGACCCGCTGGGGGGGTTGGGAACGTGCTGTCGGCACGGGTGGAGGAGGAGGAGGAGGAGGAGGAGGAGGAGGAGGAGGAGGAGAAGGAGGAGGAGGAGGAGGAAAGGGGGGAGGAATAAAGGATGAGGCGGGGGAGGAGGGGAAGGAGGGGGAGGAGGTGAGGAGGGGAGGAAAGGGGCGAGGGATGAGGAGGAGGAGGAGGAGATGAGGAGGAGGAGAGGAGGAGGAGGAGGAGGAAGAAGGGAGAGGAGGAGAGGAGGAGGAGGAGGAGGAGGGGGGGGATGGGCAAGCTCCCTCGGAAAATTAGTCGCCCACCCCTCGATCAATATCCCACCCAGAAGACGAGGGAAGGGGGGAGGTCCTGGGAGGGGTCCCGGGTCCCAAGGCCCCCCAGAGGCCCCCCACGAGTCGCCCAGGCCCCCCCCCCCCCCCCCAGGGAAGCGCCAGGAAGCCCAGGGAGGCTTCCAACAGGCTCCCAAGACGCCTCAAAAACTCCCCCCTTATCATAATACGATCAGAAGAAGCAAATAAGATCAACTGGAAGACAAACGAAACAAAAAAAACGGCTTCCGAGAGCGCTCCAGAGAGGCTTCAAGAAGCATCCTGGACACCTCCTCCTGAAGCGCGCCAGCCAAAGCAAGACAGCCAAAGCGAAGTTGAGCAACGTCGTAGTGGAGTCGAGGGGAATCCCCTTCCCTGGGATCCCTTCCCCGCCCGGGGGGGGAGCCCTGGGAGGGGCAGGGCTGGGTGGGTCCCGGGGGGGGTCTGGGGCTCAGAATACTACCCCCCGGGGGGTCTGGGGGCCCCAGAAGCCTCCCAGAGGCCCCCACGAGGCTCCCAAAAGGCTCCCAAGACATCCCAAGGACTTCGTGGGGATTTGTGCACTTCTTTAGGGCCTCGTGTAGGCACTCTTGGGAGCGCCTGATCCCGACCTTCCCGAATGCCTCTCCCATCGTAGAGATCGTCGTCCAGCAATAAACACACAACAAAAACAAACAACACAAAGTTTTAGCCAGCGTGGACCCCAAACAATGAGTTGTGCACTGCGGAGGTGAAAGCTTTACGCTGTGCGCTATGTGGCGTAAGCTATATCGGGTAAGCTATGTGGTGTTGGCTGTGGAGGTGAAAGCCACGTGGTGTGAGCTATGTCGTGCACTATGTACATTATGGTGTGAGCTGGAGGTGAAAGCCATGCAAGCTACACAGTGCAAGACATGTGATGCAAGCTACGTCGTGTAAGCTGTGGGGTGTAAGCTATGAGGTGAAGAGCTCAGCTCACGGGGCGCCCACGAGCGCTGACAGGGTGGCACCGGCGGCACCTGCCGGCGGCAACGTGGCGAAACCTCGCCTGACCAACAAGCGCAGTGGGCCTCAACGAGGCGACCATTGGGACGACGCGCGGCAAAATGGCGAAACCTTGCCGGACCCACCCAGCGCACGAGGCGGCCACGAGGCGGCCACGAGGCGGCCACGGGCGGCCACGGGGAAAGTCCGAGCCGGACCCAGCGAATTCCTCAGCGGCATGAACAAGAACCCTCAGGTGCAAGCACTGGCCATCGCTCGGACGTCCATTCCCTGTGCCTTTTTCGGTTTCGTGCGCGGTTTTTTCGCCAACTGATCAAGGATGCTCCTCGATGGTCCTCGCCGAAGCAAAAATGCACACGTCCGAGCGATGCCAAGAAGCACTGCTTGAAGCGAAGCGCGGCGAAGCCTCGACGGAGCCCCCGAGGGGGCGGCCACGAAGCGGCCCCGAGGCAGCCACAGGGCGGCGGCGGGCGGCAGCGCGGCGAAACCCTCGACGGAACCCTCCAAGTTGGCGGCAACGAGGCGGCCACGAGGCGGCCACGCGGCGAAACCTCGACGGACCCAACCAACTACTCAGCAGCCACCTCGACGGTCCCCAGTCAGCTACCTCGACGGACCCGACCAACTGCCGGCTGCCTCGACGGACCCGACAAAGTGCAAGCACCGTTTGTAGGAAGGCGCCAACTATACACCAACACCGATCCTGGCCAGGATCACCCTGGGCCCAGGATCGGTGTATACGCCCTCCTGCCCTGCGCAAGAAGGCATATACACCGATCCTGGGCCCAGGGTGATCCTGGGCCAGGATCGGTGCTGGTGTATAGTTGGTGCCCTCCGACCCCTGTCGCCCCCAAGGTTCACCCAGGAGCGGGCACGCCAGCCGCGCACTGCCTGCACACCGTACCCTGCCTCCTGCGCCCTCCCAGGCTAGCCACGGCCCCCGCCCGCGTGGGGGGGGGGGGGTCCTGGAGCAGGCTGAGCGTGGCCGACGAGCCGCGGTCGTCGGCCTGTGCGCACCCCTCCTCTGCCGCCCCCCTCCACCCGCCCCCCCCCTCCGCTCCGCCTCCTCCTCCGTCCCTCCTCCTCCTCATCCTCCTCATCCTCCTCCTCGCCTCCCTCCTCCTCCCCTCCTCCTCCTCCTCCTCCTCATCCTCCTCCTCCTCCTCAGCATCCTCCTCTTCCTCCTCTATCTCTTTCTCCTCAAAGAACAACTCCTCAGTGTCGCAGCCCCAGACATGTCGGTGAGGCGGGCCGGGCGCTTCGCCTGAGACTTCCTCACCATTTCCGATCCTGAAGATTGATGTATGCAACAGCTTCACGGATGGAGGCTTAGCGCCGCGCACGTTCATCTTAAACGCTTGCAACAGTTTCACGAAAGCGTGGTTCTCGCCTGAGCACCGCGCACATTCGTCTGAAAGTTTGCAGCAGCTTCAAGGTTCCATACGGTCGAAGTCCCAGGAATTCTGTTCTGGCGCAATGTAAGATTGTGGGGGCGCAACATCCACACTTATTCGCGGTGTTGAACCCCAGAAACGACTTTCTACCACGATTTCGGACTGTCAGGACGCAACAGTCACGTTGATCCGCGGCGCTGTAGTCCCAGAGACTGCGTTTTGGAACAATTGAGGATTCTCAGGCGGGTGTCTTCTGATGGGCCACTTCCCGCAATGAAGATAAGTTGCTTCACGGACCTATGAGGAAGGAGCTTGAAGGGAGGGTGTATTTCAACATGGTTGATGCTCGGCGGCGAGCCCGGGGGCGAAGTGAGCAGGGGCGGGCCTCCTCAGAAGGCTCGGAAGTCTCACGGCCTTCTGAGAGGTTTTCTAAGCCTTCCCCGAAGACACAAAAATCTTCTCAGAATGCGCGAGGGCTTCAGAGAAGTCCCAGCGCCTTCTGAGCAGGCCTTCTCCTTCTCACTTCCACCTCTCGCTCGCCGCCGAGATGCGTCTTTGGTTTGCACTGGTCCTCCTCCTCCTCTGCATCCTCCTCCTACACATAAAATTGGCATTAGTAATAATATCTTGTTGCTGCATGGACGAGTAGTGTTATTGGTATTAGTAGCGCTTTCGAGCAATTACTCGTTCCTATTCCCATGAGCCGTGTCAGTGTGTGTCTTCTTACCCGTCATGTTATGACGAGTAGCATACGTCTTACGATTCGGGTTAGCATTCTTATCGGTATGCTTATTACGAGTACGAGCGATAGTATTATGAACGCGATCCCTAGTCTTATTCTTAGTAGTATCGTATGCGTTGGCCTTCGTAGCATTGGTCTTCAAATTCTTAGTGGTGTATCATTGGCATTATGAATTATAGCGTTGTGATAAAGCGCATTCACCGTTTTACTGTTGATAGTGTTGTTAATGGTATTCCAGTGTGTTGTGTACATGTCGCATTGTCATTCGTATGATTACTACCATATCATCCATCTCCTTACCTGTAGTAGTCTGATCCTTAGTGTTAAGCTTATCGCCAAGTTTTGGGGCCGATCACACCCCCTTCCTGCGGCGAAAGCCCCAGCAACGCACTCTCTGAGATGCTAGAGTTTGAGAGGATGGCTAAGGATGACCCTCCCCACCCAACGCGCTCCACACATCCCCCGCTCCATGCGATGCTGACCCTACTATAGCCCAAGTTTCAAGGTACAAGCTCTCAAACAAAATGCAGAAAATCCAAACCTCCCGCCACACACCGTCACCTGTTAGCCCGGGGGCCCGGCAAGAAGTATCCCGTAACACACCACGGGGGGCCAGCAAGAGGTGTTCCGTCACACACCACAAGGGGCCCAGCATGATGCATTCCGTGACACAGCCAGCCTGGATCACACCTGGCATACGATTCCCAGATGCAAGAAGCATGTGATGCTGAGGGTATTGATTAACAAATCCTCTGGTGCGCCCGCGGTGCGACAATCCTGCTGCGCTCCCAGACGGCGCATCGCCAGGCACCGAGACGCGTACGCCCACCCCCCCAAGAGGCAAGCTCCGAAGTTTCGGAGACGATGCGCCACGAGGCAACGAGACGCAACAGACTCAACACTGTAGCGAACCTCCCAGAGCCCTCCAAGCCGTCTTCACGATAGACGCTAGCAGAATTACCATTAGTTGTTAATTATTAACATTGTTATTATGCTCCTTCGTTTTCGCATAACTCTTCCTTTTCTTATGAGTGTTATCTTTATGGCTGTTGGTATTATTCCTCCTCCTCCTCCCGAGGGGGGGGCAAGAGGGGGGCATCCAAGAGGGGGGTTCGCAAATCATGTGCGGAGACATGTGCGCGGCCCAGGGGAGGACCAGGGAACGCTTTGAAAGATGAAGCTGGATGGGGGAATGAAATTCGAAGATATATCATGGCCCCGACCATGATACCTACACCCATACACCAATCCTCGTCCTTCTCCTCCGCCTCCTCCATCCCTTCCCCTTTATAAAGAACTCATTCCTGTCGTCCCGCCAGACGGTGCGGGCTGGGCATTTCGCCTGAGACTTCCTCGCCATTTATGATCCTGAAGATTGATATGGGCAACAAATTGACGGATGGAGGGCGAGCAGTTTAAAACATGTGACTCTCGCCTTAGCGCCGCGCGCATTCGTCTTCAACGTTTGCAAAAGTTTCACGGATGGAGGGCAGGCCGTTTTCAAAACGTGGCTCTCGCCTTAGCGCCGCGCACACTCGTCGAATGGAAGCGGCTCCTGTTCGAAATGTGGCTCTCGCCGTAGCGCCGCGCACATGTATCTTGCAAGGTTTACAGCAGTTTCAAGGATTCGAGTGGCCGAAGTCTCGCATGATTGAGGGCTGTGGGGACGCAACAATTACACTGATTCGTGGTGCTGAAATTCCAGTTGCTGCGTTCTGGCACGATGTAGAATTATCAGGACATAACAACTGCGTTGACCAGCGACGTTGAAGTCGCGGAAACAGTGTTTGGCACGATTGAAGACTCTCAGAAGGTTGTCTTCAAATGGGCTGCTTCTCGCAATGAAAATTTCTCGCAGGGGCCTATGGCGAGAGAACTTGGAGGGAGCGTTTACTGCAACATCGTTGACGCACCTTGGGCTTACACTGGTCCTCCTCCTCCTCCTCCTCCTCCTCCTGCTCCTCTTCCTCCACCTCCTCCTCCTCATCCTCCTCCTCCTCATCTTCATCCTCCTCATCCTCCTCCTCCCTGGGGAGCGCGAGCGGAAGCACGGTAGGGGGACGGCGAGGATAAGACAAGACAAGGCGAGCTCCGAGAGGCGGACCAGGCACGGAGCCCAGTGCATTGTTCGCGATAGCGCCCCCCGCCCCTCCCCCTCCCCCCACCTGGTCACGTCACAATTCGCGCCGGTGCCATCTAGGAATGAGCAAGTCTTCGGCATTCCCAGACAGCGTCGGCGCTCGCCGTGGCGTCCAGCCCCCTCCGCCTCTCCCCCCCCCTGGTCGCGCGCGCTATCGCCAGAGGATAGAAAAACTGTTTCCTGCGGGGTGATGCTAGGGCACTTCCAGCTCACCCCTTATCCGCCTGCGCCACCCGCAGGACCCCGTCCGCTCGGGCTCGCTCGGGCGGCCAGCTCCTTCTATCAACTCCTGGATGGTGGTAGACACTGTGTCGCGCGAGACAGTGGAGGGAGGGGATG